AGAAGACCAGGCGCAATTACAGGCGATCGGCAGAGTTTCTGAGCCTGGAGCAACTTTATTCTAAAATCTCTGTGGCCTGGAACAAGGAAGCCAAAGTTTTGAATCAGAGGATTTCTGGCAGCCTCCATTGTTATGCAACTCACAGACTTCATTCCTAAGGGAGTGTCTGGGGCTCTAAGGAAAACCAAAACCACACCTCCGCCATCTTTGCTGAACAACGGAACGCACAAAGGTGTTTAAAAATCACTGTTAGGAACCCGCCTGAGCTCATGTGCCTCTGCCACGTGTCTGGAGACGGCAACACAACGCCACGGTTCCCTCACGAGGACGAAGTCTGGTCAACTCAATGCCACTTTTTACAGTGGCGCGTGCAAGGGAGCGTCTCTCTCGACAGCCCCAGGGAGCCTCTCCGGCTTTGCTGCAGGGGGACAAGCCCTCGCTCGTCAGGGAGTGCTGGGCAGGTGCACCAGTTGTAGACCCGCGGGTGTGAGGGGGGCAGGGAGAAAGGCAGCCAGCCAGATGGCCCCCAGCTGGTCCTACAGAAGTTTGCCGTCAAGTAATAACTTACTCCGGGGACATCCATCTGTCTGCCTTTTGTGAAAACCCTGGCTTTTCGGGTTAACGCCCAGTCCTGAGAGCAAGAGGTAACACCCCCCATGACAACTCACATAAGAAACAACAGGACGGACCTCTGGGTGAAAGGGAACGTGCTGTGAGCGCAGATGCACACGTTCAAACACCCAGAATGGTTTCCAGGGAATGTTCGAACCGTCTGCACGGGGGCCGGGGTGCTGCGTAAAATGATGAGTCATCACGGCAGCAGCGAGTCTCTGCCAACTTTCCTGGTGTGTCCATCCCAGGGTTTCCGCCCCCAGAGGACTTACGTGGCAGCAAGTACCCGCCATGCTCTGTGGGGACCTAGGTAAGCCTAGAAGCCAGGCCCTAGGGAGACACCGGCACCCCAGGGCACACTGCCCTACCTGGGCCAGACGCCGGGACCCCCGTGGCGCACACCTGCGCCCAAGACCAGGACCCCCTGCTGCCACGCCCATACCCGAGGCTGGGACCCCCGCTGCCTGCACCAGGGTGGTCCCCACGTCCCTCAGAGGCTCCAGAGCCAATTCCTTCATCGCCAGAAGAGGCTTCGCTGGCCCCTCGACACTGACCGGGGAGCTGAACTGACAGTACAAATTACAGACCTGAAATGCTGTTTCCAACTTCACAAGACTTTCCCTGGGTTTCCTGTTTCAGTGACCTATTAATTATTCACACAGACCCAGCCTCCTGTGTGGTGGGCTAGATGCTATCGAGCAGTTATTTTGGTAACTCAGTAAACAGAGCTTCATTCTTTGACCCCTGGGTCAGAGGTCAGCGATGTCTCCCAGGTCACTCCTTGGGCCCCTGGGAGGGCAGGTGGGAACAGGGGACCCTGCCCTGTGGACCGGGATGCCAGGCACCACGCAGAGGGCAGTGAGGGCGGGCGCTGGGGGACATGGAGAAACAAACTGGGAAACCAGAACCAGCAGACCGAGGGCCTTCGGCAAACCAGTTAGCCCCTGTGAGAAGACCCCTCAGTCATAAGGTTCTGGTTTATCAGCAGCAACCCTGGAGGAAGACCAGCCTTCCTGCACCCCCTGTTAAGGCGAATCCCACAGCAGGCCCTCCCCAGACCAAAGGCAGACGATGGCCTCCCACCTCACCCAGGACCCAGGGACCAGGCCTCTGAGAACCTGGGAGGCCTTGTTCCCGTGCACACAGAGGGGCTGGCCCTTCTGAGGGTCGCAGACTGACCTCCCGGGCTTGGGATGACAACCGGGGCAGAGGGTGGGTGGCCTGGGAGGGCCCAGAAGCACCGGCTGCCATCATCCATGACTAGGGGTATGAACGCGGGAGCTCAGGAGAAACAGAACACGGGCCACGGGGTCCTACGCTGGGTCCTGCGACATGGGGCAGGCCGCACGTGGAAAGGAGGGAGAGACCAGGACGACGCAGAAGGCCCTTCCCACCCTCCAGTCCTGCTCTGACTGAGCCTGAGAAAGACACCCCACGCGTCGCCGCATGTCCCAGATGCAGAGCAGGGGTGCTGGCGTGCCGGGTAGCTCCTTCCTGCGGTCACTGACACTCCAGAAAGGGAGCAGGTCCTCCTTCTGGGGCTGGGCTGGGGCACTTTCATTCTGCAGAAAATGACTTTGATTTGATGGAGACACCTGTAATTGAAAGTCTGGTGAACAGTGGCAGGTGCGGGAACAGCGTGTTTTTATCAGGCTCCCCGGGCCCTTAGTGCACGTGACTGCTTTCGTCTGAGCGGTAACAGTCTGTCCCGGGCCAGAGCCCATATTCTGTGGACCCACCGGCCACAGCACAGCTCATGGGGTGCATGGCTGCCCCAGGAACTGCCCACGGCGTGGCCTGGCCTCTGCAGAGAGAGGAGCGGGCGTGGTGCTGGAGCCCCGTGTCAGAGGATCCGCTAAAAACTCAGCACAGAATAAACCCTTGTGGTTAGCGTGCTTTCGCGGCAACTGAAAGACTTTTCTATTTTCATTTGTTTTAAAACTGTGCGCAATTTCTATTTTTATCCAACTTGTGGCCCGCCAACTGAAAAAGAAAACAAACCCCCAAAACCCCCTCTTTGTAACTGCTTACCTCACACTTGCATAGAAATAAATTCACTCTGCCACAGATCTACCAGAAAATGCTAAATTACTAATTTCTCACCCATGAGAAGTGCTGACAACACCTGACATTTTCTGTTGAGCACCATTTACGTTTTGCATTTCACTTGTAAGGTTGGGGGGGGTGGTGTTCATCCCGTTTAAACCCACAACCAGCCTCGTGCATTTGCCCTCACTTAGTCTGAAATAATCTGTAAAATACTTTAAATACTGTTTTAAGTTTTGCTAATTTCTCCAAAATGTCTCAATTCTCTCTGTAACGTCTACCCAGGTAAATGAACACACCCTGAGGCCCTGGGGGTGGGGGGTCCTGGTGAGGGGTGAGTGACAAAGGCAGGTGCCAGGGCTGCCTTCTGTCATCCTCCAGGAGCCCTCAATTGCTGGAGCCGAGAGGTGGTCCCCAATGAGCCCTGTGCTTTGCATTTCAACACAAAAGGTATTAATGTTTATAGGTGCCCCCGCCCCCTTGGCAGGACCTGCACCCCTTGCTGCTATAATTTTGAGAAATGGGGCCAATTGGCCATTATTCCTCTGCTGCCCGATTCCCTCTTCTCCTGGAGTTGCTTTATTTCCTTGGCCTTGAAACACCCTCTTCTGTCTGCGGCAGGGCATCTAGTCCCGCGCGGTAGCGGCGGGAAAGCAAGTTAAGGTATCTCTAGTTACAGAGCCCGGCTGATGCAGCGTAGCTGGACCTTCACCTGCTGGGAAGGCGGGGGCCGAAAACGTCTAGCAGGCTGCCGCATGCTGTCGAGTCGCGCAGCCACGCACGTAGGCACTAACTGGCGGCAGGCACGCGGCCACAACACTGCCCGCACGGTCCCACCAACGCCATGCTGCCGTCGCCTGGGCGGGCAGCCTCTCTCTCTGGGGCACCGTCCCTGACAGGATTTCTGTTTTTCTAAATGGCATAAAATAAAAACATGGGCGCCCTGCTGAGCACCCTTCTGATTGGCCTCATCCCCCAATGACGGGGTTGGGGCCCATGGGGGGAGACATGTGCCCCGTCCACTGCCTGGAGCTCTGGGCAGGAGAGCGACCCATCCACACATGGCCACCCGAGTCCCACCAATGGGCTGGGCAGGGGGGTCAACGCTTGTCGGGTAACATCTGACGAAAGTCCACTGGCGCCCACGCAGCAGCCAACCTCCACGCCCACACGTCCTCCCGGGGGTGAAGGGTGACGCCTGCATCACAGCGACCGAGGTGCCCCGAGGCCACCAATGACAAATGTTCCAACTCAAAAGCCAAGTGAAACTTATTCCCCTCCCAGTGTTTGGGGTGGGAGACCAGCACCCAGAGTCACCCCAACACGTGGGCAGGAGACCCCAGCCCGGCCCCGACGGTGTGTAGCGTCTCTCCCCTGGGAACCCTGAGCTCCCTGGCACCCTGGCAGTTCCTCTGTCCCTCCTGTGTCCTGCCTGAGGAACCCCAAAGCACGGAAAGGGACAGACGCCATGCTGGGAAGCTGATGGGACCAGCCCTCGGGCCCACCCAGGGGCTCCGGGCTCCGTGGTCTGTGTGGGCCAGAGAGTCTGTGTTTCTAGCAGGGCAGCTGACGGCCACCCCAGGCCGAGCAGAGGAGGGGAGGAGGCAGGCGTGAGGCTCTGGAGAGCAAGCACCACGAAGCCTGTAGGCTGCTCTCCTCGGTTCTGACCACACTTCTCTCCTCAAAAATAAAACATCTTCATTTCAAGGTTATATTTATTTTCTTCTAAATGTCCTATTCCAGAACACCTTAAAAAAGGAAAAACCCCCAGGTTCATGTCTCCCAAGAGGCACAGAAGACAGCCCACCACCCACACTGCCCGCCAGCGCCACCAGGAAACTGAGGCAGACCCTCAGGGTCCTTTCCCTGCTTTCCCATCCTGTCTGAATCAAATGTGCCTGCCTGAGGAAGACGAGGGGAGAGGCGGTGTCTGTCAGGATGGGGCAACAGCAAGGCCTCAGCCACCCCCGCGAGTCACAGGCCACGGCCCCACCGGGGGACGCGGGCCTCCCGACCACGGCCCGGTGTGCGGACTGCTCCCCGCGGTCTCTGGGACTCGCCGGAGAGGGTTCCCATTTTCACACGAAGCTTAGGGTCAATGATGGCGGCTGACTTTGAGCTGTGGAAAGAAGAGCCACGGGGCCCCCTCACTGCAGCCACCGTGTGCATCGAGGAGCAACATGGGACTGTGTGTGCAGACGCTGCAGAGCTCAAGCACTCTGCAGGGGAGTTTTTTAAGAGAAAACGGGAGAAGCAGAGCTGGCTATTGCGCAGTGGCCGAACAAGCCCCAGCTCCCACCTCTGGGCACGGATGCGTGCCCGAGGGGAATAGACCCCGGTACCTGCACGCTGGGGTGTCCTCCGGCCGATGCCTTCACGGCCCCCCGGCTCCCCTCCGTCTCATAGTGGGCTCTGTGGTGGGGCTTGGGCTGCACCTCGATCCTCAGCTCGTAGGGTCCCGAGCGCGATGGCAGCTGCCAGTCCAGGGCGGGGAGGGACGGGCTGAAAGGGAACACACAGGGCGTCACGCACGCACGCCAAGCGATCCCTCTGACCGTGGCACCCACTCGCCACACTGGCATTGGCCTGAGCACTGCATCCCTTAGCATCTTCGGGTTAATGTCCCCTTCCGTGAGGACAGAGTGAAACAATGGCTACGAAACTATGACAATCCGCCTCAGCCTGTCAGGCCTTCGGGACAACGTTCTGGAACAAGAGGGAAAGCTCTCCCACCCACCTTAAAATATATTCCTTCTTTCATGATGGACCAACGTTAATTTAACCTCCCTCATAAGATAGGTTCCGGAACTAACTGAAGATCTTTCCAAAATCACTGACGTAAGACCCTGACCTAAGAACCGGGAAGGCCAGTTCTAATGCCCCCGCCCCACTGACCGGCCGTGTGCAGGACTTAACAGTCTGGGCATGGCTGGCCCCTTCTGCATGGCGGCTCGCAGTGACCCCAGCCCCCCTCAGTCCTGCGGTCTGTGCACAACACACGACACAGGACGAGCTTCTAGTCAAGACCACGAGAACACGGGCAAACCACTGGTGCCATGTGATGTCACTTCTGTGAGCTGGTTTATCGTTCTGGCGCTGGCGAGGGGAAAGGGACGGTGTGTGGCAGAGGCCAGCTCCTGTGGGAAGAGCCCACAGGAGCCACACCGCCTGCCACAGCACACAGGTTTGCTGTAATTGTCCCATATCCCCGACAAAGGAAAAGGGCCTCTGGGAGCACTCCTCAGGTGGGGGCCACGGCACCGCAGTCACTCGCCCCAACAGACAGAACCCAGGCGCAGGGACGCCTGACAGCGCGGCCCCTCAGAGCACCCCAGGCCCTGGCTCTGTTCCGTGTGATCTCACACACACGGTCCATCTCTGCAAAGACTGTGTAACGCCGCGGACAGAGAAAGACACGGAAGCTCAGGTCCACCCGTCTCCCAGAAAAGTAAAACGAAAGAACAGAAGGACACAGTTCCCCAAAGTTCAGGTGAAAGGCACATGCACTTGACTATGACAGAGGAAGAAATCCACGTCACTAACGTGCTCTTGGATCATCGGCAGAGTCTGCGCGCAGTGTGTGTGCAGCTTGAAGTCAGTGCGGATCCCAAAGTGCGGCAACACACAATTACAAGGACTGTTTTGGGTTGAAATTCTTCCGCATGAATTTGGCGGCTCCACACAGCTGCAAACAGTCCTTGGCTCGGAGGCGAGGCCCGAGCCTGGAGAGGTGTGGAGGCCCCACGGCCTTGGCCCACAGTCCCCACGACCCCCGAGGAGTGCCACAGCGGACGCTGTGGCCTGGCCTCAGCCCCCACGCCTGGGCTTCCTGCTGAACACAACTGATGATTTCGTACTTTAAACCCACCTGTGAGTTGATGTGATTCTTTACAAAGCCACCCTCTCAATGCAAGCAGGGAAACACGGGCCGTGGACCAGAAACTGCAGTCATCCACGTGCACGCGCTCACTCGCACACGCAGAAGCATCCATCTCCACACGTGGGTGTGTGCCTGTGAGCATTCTCACAGGAAAAGGGATATATTGTAAGAAAATGAGATATATATATTTGGATACGCTGGCTTTTTTAAAATTAAAGATGTTTTCAGCATGTTAGGAAATTTTTAAAAAATGGTTGGATCACTGCCTCCTGTTCTGTCCTCATTGATTCGCGCCCACTGCTGAACTTGGATAGTTGGTGTTGTCCGCTCCAGGAAGGTGAAGGTCCCTTGTGAGGTGGGGGCTGCCTTCCTGGTCGTTTCCTTAGATTCACAGCCTCCGTCCAAGAGGGCACGTGCTTGAGGCTCCTGACACATCTCCAGATGGCGCCCAGAGATGCTCAGGGGGGCCCCTGGTGACCTCACGGGCACAGGCCCGACAGGCGCTGATCCTTGCCAGCGCTTCCCACGGAAGACCTCGCTGATGCCACAGTTTCACAAACACTGACACCGAGAGCAAAATGATCCGTTAAGTATCAGTAGTGCTTCTAAACCACCTGTGAAAATCTCCACAGCGCTCCATATCCACCTTTTACCATAGACCACGTGGACCCCCCAGCCCCCAGCCTCCAGGCCTGGCCCCCGTGCCGCAGACAGCCTGCTTCTGCTCCAGCTGACCGTCAGTGTCCTTAGTGTCGTCCATTATGGCAGACAGATTCGCCCCTCCTGGCCTGTTCAGCACCCACGTTTTAAATGTAATGATTTCACAAGTGCTGGGTCGTGGTCTTGTGAACTTTATGTGAAACACAAATTCATAAAACACAGCACAGGAATAACACTCCCGTGGAGGAATACAGAGTGGGCCCAAGCTGCTTTTAATTTGAGGAGCCCAAACGCATTTTGTCCCCAAAGACAGAGGGTCCGGGTCCAGCCACCTGGCCTGGTGCAGAGGGCGCTCTGGGAGGTCTGCAGCCACGAAGGTGCATGTCCATGGAAACCCTCCCAGGAGAGAACCTGAGGAGCCCCCTGCAAATTACACGGTTTTCTTGAATTCCTGCAGGAGTTTCTTGCTTGTAACATGACGACGATGATGACGTCACCTTGTTGCTCAGCAGCGTGGATGGTTAACGAGGTGCTGAGCAGAGACCCCAGGCACCCCAATACCTAGTTCTCCCCTAGAGCCTGCCAGGGCCCAGGTGCTGACAGTGGCTAACAGGGTCAGGGATGGTGGCTGAAGGAGATCTCTCTGCAACTTTCCGTGAATCTGGAATTCTTGCAAAACAAAAAGTTTTTTTTTAAAATGCTCACTCCTGCGGCACCTGGGTGGCTCAAGAAATCTCAGGGTCGTGAGATCGAGCCCCAGGTCTGGCTCTGAACTCAGTGTGGAGTATCCTTGAGATTCTCTCTCTCTCCCTCTGCCTTTGCCCCTCCCCCTCAAAAAATAATAGAATAAGTAAATTAATTAATTTTAAAAATCCTCATCCTTGTGCTTGCGAAACAGAAGTCCAAATCCCGTGCCAGTTACTATTACCATCACCCCCAGAAGAGGCCAGTGAGCTACGGTCACATGTGGGCCCCCACCTACCACCCGAGTCATGCTGAGTGCCTGTTGTGTGCACCCCAGCACAATGGCATCGCCCCCAGCTGCACCCCCGCCCCCCGCCGGGAGTCCTGGGCCCTGCGGGACGGAGACAGGCCCGGCTCCCGCTCTGCCCTGCGCCAAGGACCCAGCCGACGCCGCCCTGTGCGCTGGGGCGCCTCGTGTGACAGCACAAGGGAAGCGGGTCACAGTCTGCCCGGGGCCTCTGTGTGTGGGCGCGGCTCCTGTGGGGAGAAGGGGCCCCGCGGTCACAGTCTGAATCACCCTGCTCTCAGAGCCGCCACCACCGCCTGTTTCCCACGAGAAAAGCCTTTCAACTTCTACTGAACCTGTGTTCCCTCCTCGTAGGAAAAGTGTGAAAGGATTTTTTTAAAGGCTTAGTTCACGGCATCTCGACACCTACATGCTGTGATCCAAAGTCAGAGAACAGCCTGAGTTCTGCCCCCATCAGCCTGGCCACGGTCGCGGCCCCTGGAGCGGCCGTGACACGTCCCCCGCGAGGCCCTTCCCACCTGCCGCTGCTGGCCACCTGCTTCGCGCCTCGCCCAGAGGCCCGCAGGCTCCGCCACACGCCTTCGCCGTACAAAACACCCTCTTGCTTCCACACCAGCGCCGACCCCCTAACAGGAGCTCGGTGACCACCCCATGGACAAAGCCGGACACCACATGGTGTCTGTGATTCCCTCCAGCATTTCTGTGCAGGGGACCCAGCAAGCCCGGGGGCCCAACCGCTGGGAGAAATGCTGAGGTGTGGGCGACCGTCTACACTGGAGCCCGAAACCAACGTGATCTTGATGACAACTGTTGTGGACACCGCCCGGGGCTCACAAACCGCCTCCAGACCTCACCTCAGCCCCATAGAGCAGCGGCCACCCCAGACAGCGCTCCGGGGGACCCGTGGCTAACGGGGCCAGGGCAGGACTCGGATTTAAACCGTCTCAGCAGTGACCACTGACACCCGAGAGGGACACCAGATGTCTGCCTCCCAAGGGAGGCGCACTCACCATTTTGCCGAAACCTGAGGCTAGAATTCTGGCAAATACCCAGATTCAGAACCAATTTGAGAAAACAAAGCGAATCAAAACAGGGAATACCCAGAGGACAGAAGAGCACACCAAGTGACACCACGGGGGAAACTGCGGAAATCCAGCCCCCAGCGGGGGGACGGACTGATGGCTAACTGCCACGATTCTCAAAACGAGCCCCCAGTTTGGAAGACACGCACTCCATGTGTAGGTACGATGACGTGATGTCTAGGCTGCGCCGCAGAACGGCCCTGGGGGATGGCGGCAGACAAGTGCCCGTGAGTCAGGGGACCCCGTTATGAGTGTTGCCTACAGTTTTATGTAGTAGGAAGCAGAGCGCGGTTCTCGCGGGCGAGATGGGGTGCGCTCCCATGGCCGCTGTGGTCGTCAGGGCCGGGGGTAGCCATGGCTCGCTCTTCCCTTCGTTTACCTGCAGTTTAAACGTCTACAGCAGAGAATGTTACTTGGAGAACTGAAAACACAGCCAGCTTTCCAAGGTTCAGCTTTCTCTTGCTCCTCGCCGGCCCAGTGAAGCGCCCACTCTGGAAAGCACTTGAGCGGCGGCGTCTGAGGGCCCTTCTGCGATTCCCTGGGAGGCCACGTCCACGGTGTCTGAAACCAGATTTTCCACACGAGCCGCAGCTGGGTCCAGGAGGAAGCTTCCCTGCTGTGGCCGGAGCCCAGACGTGAGGCGAGTCTTTGGCTTCTATGGTTTGGGGTAAAACCCCCTCACTTCTGAAGTTTCCAGACCTTCGAGCCCACACAGACATATCACTCAGAGGAAAGCTGTAAAGGCTTTTATGAGTCCTGTTTTCCTAAAGTAGCTGAGGCTGTAAACTCTGAACTTGGCAGGACTCAGACCCACCCAAAGGAAGGACAATCAAAACCCAAGGAAAGCGATATTATCAAAGGAACACCACACATTTTCTCAGGGTTGGTG